CATGTGTGAGAGTCAGTAATGTGCTCAATTTTAGACCTCGTTTTAATTTTAAAACGATTTTTCGTTGTTTATGTATACTTAGCATTAACATCAATAAATTACCTTAACTGACTTTGATTTTCGTTGATTAATAAAGTATGCAGTATAAAAACCAATATATAACATGTATAATACCTGGTTTTTTTTTCTTCAGCTCCCTGAGTGAATAAACTTTAAAACAGCCAATCCAATATTCGTATTCGTATTATCAATAGATTAGTGCTTCGGTACTGGCATGATTCATAACATGCATTTCTTAAGTTCGACGTTGATAAATTAAGATATTAATCATGTTAATCCGACGCTAAGGTTCCAACTCCATTAGACAAAGTTATCTTTAGATTAAATTGACTCTTCTTTTATGTCCATATCGTTCATGTAGCTCCTTAGGTATGCATGTATTTATACATATTTGGCCTTGAAATGAAGGGTTTCAGCTTTCCTGATGAAGGTAATTCCAGGAAAGCACTTTGGATGGTACGAATTATTATAATGTTATTTTTGTGTTTTATCATGTCAAAGCCTTTTATACCTCTATGTGTGCAGTTGTACGAGTATTATTTGATTAAAGATATTTATACCTCTGTTAGTGCAGATGTATGTACAAGTTGTATTTGATTAAAGATTCCTCTGTTAGTGCAGATGTACAAGTAGTATTTGATTAAATATTTTTATACTTCTGTTTCCTGGTAAATCGACTTGGATACGTAGACTCCAAACGATGTATGTTACTTCTAAACACAACAATCGAAAACCAATATTTTCAAGGATTTTTTATGCCACAACTTTTGCAAAATCGCTCAATCTTGAAATGAACATTACGTTTGCATTCGTTTCGCCAGTTCATAAGTCCATTATGTTTCCTTACGTTTTCACATAATGCTAGAATTTATTGCTTATCATATTTGAAATAAAGACATTTCATAAGAAGTAACGATATTAAGATTGAACAATGTTGCGAAAGTTGCGGCCATTGGGCATACAAAAAATCCGGAAAAATATCCGTATTTCTTTTTTGTGTTTTAACGTCGGGATCAATTGATCAATATTTGAATACATTCATAAAGGAAAAACCTGTTTTGTGTGATGCTAACATTTAATTAACAGTTAATCTACTTAGACTTCTGACCTGGTGATACCTTCGGGAAAGAGACGTTCACTTGTAGTGTCATGGATCAAGTGTTTCTTTTAAACAATTGTCAATATCATTCGTAAACTAAATGCGCGTTTCATCTTCTTAAGACTAATATAAAAAATAAGTAGTTTATTTAATTACAGAGTAAAAGAGCATGGAAAACAGAGTCAAATTAAAAGTTGTGCTATAGTCATAAATTAAGAATTTCAGGTCAAGTTTAATTTTCGTTCAGATTGAGCGGAATTTATGACTCTTGGACACAGAACATTGCTTGAAATTATCAGTTTCCGGAATTAGTTCTGTATTACATGAATAAGTATATAAATTATTTTGATATTAAGTATATGGTGATCTCATTCACTGTTATAAGTTAAGTTTGGGTATCCTTCATGCTTTATTCGTGGCAGTTAGTGCAACTTAGGAAATTGGTTAAATATTACTTTTCAGAGGAATCAAAACCTTGATATCCATACAGTTGGGATTGATGGCAGTTGCTGATCTTTAAATACATATTCTTATCCCATTCATTATAAGAATAAATTTCTCAACTTCATAAGAAAAACTCTTTCCCAATATGAACAAAGACCTTCTTCTCAATCAATTGGTTGTCCTGCATATGTCCCCAATGATACTGCCAGTTGGGGGTATTGTATGGCATATGCAATACCGTTAGAATACTTGTTTAATATCAACTTTAAAACTTAATCGTAACATTTGTTTTACCAAGGACTTCTTATAGCTTACATTATGGGTGTTTACTTGTTCTCATATTGACCATGTGGTAACTAGTTGATGTGTAGACACTCTCTTTTTTGGTATATTTTGAGAGTTTTCACTTCAAGTTTATTTGGTCATTTTGCAATACGCATATCATTTGCAGTCGTGTCATATCCTTTATGATTTACGAAGGGGTGAAAACTCTCTGCTAAAGATCGTGTACGAAATCTCAGTTATGTACCTAAAAATGATTTATATTTCTAGTGTCATGAGAACCACTTTTTTATTCCTTTTATATAAATGCGTACTATTCATGTTGTAAATTTGTGTGGTTTGATTTACATGTTTTGTAGAAAAAAAGATATAAATTACTTCTGTTTCTTTTTCTTTTCTATTTGGAAAATCCTTTTCTCTTTCATGTAAGTGTTTTAAAGAAGTTTTTTTATTAAAAATACTTTTCATTCTTGCTTAAACACTCACATAATAAGTCCTAGTTTTTAGTTGGATGTCTTAAGTGAAATGTATCGAAAAATGTTCCGAGATTTTTCCAAGAGCTGTAAAGATATTTTCTAGCGAATTAATACGTTTTCATTACTTACTCTGTCATTGCATATATAACATTTAGAAGTACACGCATTTGTTTCTGCTCTGTAATATCGGTTTACATTGTTCGTAATATATTTTACAGCATTTTAAATCTTAATAGGTTCAATCTTTTATAATAGTATTTTGATAAAAAGATAAAAAGATTTTCACTTCACTTCACTATGTAAAAGTCTTTTTTCACTTTGCAAAACCTACGGTTTTTCTATATTAAATAGGATAATCATTTGATATATTTTTTGTTGTGAGAAAGTTGGTAAATGTAATTAGCAGTTTTGTTATACATTGTATTATGATCTATAAAAATATTGATGAACGATAACGAAAAGTTTATATTTGGAACTATTAAAGGCCTCATAAGTATCCTTTGCTTTACATATTGAGTTTTCTCTTAGACTGATTTTTGATACCTTGTCGTTTTTTTTAAATTTTGCAATCTGTTTTTCTAGGGTTATTAATCACACATAACCTGGTAATGCCAAGAATCACACATAATCTGGTAAAGACCAAAGTAAGATCCTACGCATTTTATGGGTTTTGTTGACCAGTTTGTATAACATATTTATCTCTACCAGGTTTTTAAAGTTTTTTTTTATAATTTTCTAGCCTGATGTCTTATATTTTATCTCTGTTCAGTTTTTGTCAAATGAAGGGTCACTGTAATTCTTGCTTTGATGTGACCAAAACAGGCTGTGTCTTCCGCTTAATGGCCTCACTTTAACTACGTGTTTGATTCAAAAGCTAAATAAAGACAACATCCTAGTTACCACAAACGTGCGTTGTTATGGCAAGATATTTGGCCGATTGTGCGTACGTACTTTTCACTAATTCATGTATTGTATTGTCTATTCTAATTTGATTACAATCTATACTGTTGGCTTGGCTTAATCTACAAGACAGAATTTCTTCAGCCATCACGAAGAGGACACTGACAGGATAACCTGAAATAAAATTCTATAGTATTTGCGGTTGCCCTATTGTGGAATGTAGATGAGTGTAGTCAACATTTTCAGCGTTTAGCACCACACGAACTGAATTCCAGGACTAATACTCAATATATTGAGAAACCATGATCCTCAACACATTTAATTCTAGATATTACATGGGCTTTTCCAGAATTATTTATCTTTATTATTTATCTTTCCTCAATCTTTTCACTTATATATGTGTCCGAATTTTTTTATTTATTTCTTCATCATTAACTTTTAGTTTTTTTCGTCTCTTACATCTTACTCTGTCTTTAAATCTTTAGTAGATACTCTTATCATAAGCAACATATTTACTATATTATATTTCAGTAGTAATGAGTTATTTTTAAATGTATTTGGATTATCAATATTAACTGTATGATGACTTTTAGATGTCTTTTGGTTATTTATTTCGTTTAGTTGCTGTCTTATTGGGATGTATCCTTAATCATATACCTTTGTTGGCTAATATATTTGTAATGTTGTCACATAAAATGTTTACACTAATCCACATCACTTTATATATAAAATAAATCAATAAATGCCACATTTTGCAAAATAATACATTTCAATCATAGTTCACAAATAGTTCGCAATATAAACAATAAATTTGTTTGCCCAACCAATGTCAGCTTTCAACGTAACATAATGTCTCCTTAAAGAGAACGTTGTTATGGACCACATCGTTATGCACAATGTTACAATGATTTTGTAAAACGTTATACATAAAAATATAACAAAAATAGCGAACTCATTTAACGTACTGTTTTAACCATATAAATTTAAGGCACAATGTGAAAAGCACGTCCTCAATACGTAACAAATGTGTTGTCAAAAAATAAATTAAGCATCTGTTTTATGTAAAAACAAAATTTATAATTACATTTTGTCCTATCCTAAAACAAGATATTATTTCTTTGTTTGTCATTCTTTTTTATGAAACAAAGTTGGACTAAATCTTTCTACCTGTCTTCAAGTCTAAAGTGAGCAATACTAGTGTAAAAGAAAGAGAATATGAAAATAAGAAGTTGTGGTATGATGCCAATTCTCCACCAGAGACCAAACGTCGTCACAGTATGGCCTTCAACAAGGAGCAAAACCCATACCACACAGCAAGCTTGAAGAGGATCCAAAATGACAAAGGTAAAACAATTCAAACGAGAAATATAACGGCCTGATTTATGTACAAAACGATAAACGAAAAACAAAATTGATATAGAGCACCCAACAACAACCATTGAATAAGAGTCTCCTAACTTGGGACAGACACATACAGAATGTTGTAGAGTTTTGCATGTTAGCGGGCTCCTAACCCTCCCCTTAACCTCGGACAGTGGTGCAACAAAACACCACAAAAACAAACTGTTCAGAACAATAGATGAAAAAAAATATGATAAACGTATATAAATGCCAATCACTCAAATACATGCTCCAAACTAAGGACAAACACATATAGAATGTGGCTGGATTAAACATGTTTGCGGGAACCCCAACCCACCCTCCCCTAATCTTGAATAATTGTGTGATACCACATCATAAGAACCAACTACATGTATAAAAATCAGTTGAAAATGGCTAAACTCATCAGACCGATACAAAGCATAAAAACAACTAACTAAAAACAGAAGACACAAAATACATATCTAAGAGTACAATTGTTTTTTCCGTAATTATACTCTTGACTTCGCCTCTCTCATTCACCTTTTCTCCTGAATGGTATATATTTTGTACTTTTCTAAAATGTCTAAATGCAAAGGGTTTTAGTCATTGTTACTTTCGACGAACTCCTTCTTATGTTAAGCAAATCAAATCAGGAAAAATAACATACAAGTCTTTTCTAACTGAAATATCTGACATATTTAAACATTGTTTATGAGTCCTTAACAGTGCATGAGTTATATATCTATACATATAATTAATATAACTATATATATGACATGTTCATACTTCCACTACAGCACGTGATCTGCAAACACATTGTACTGTTCGGGTTGAACGTTTTTAACCACCGAATCACTATAGTTACCATTCTGGTCATTTTCGCGTGATTGTTGCTCTGAAGTAAGAATATTGATGCTATTGATAATTTTATTCAAACCATCATTAAATTCAGTTCTCCCTTCTTGCTGTATCTCGTCATTCATATCATTAAAACCTTTTATGATCTGATTCAAACCATCATTCAGTTTGTCTTCAGCTGCAGTTCTTTTCAATTCTGTAGTAAGCAACCGGACACTTCGCTTCTTAATGAATCGTAAAATAAGAATTCCAAGCTCTAGAATTTCACCAAGGCTAATTACAGACATGCCGACCCATAGGCCAAGAGATCCTCCAATATCTGACCAAAAGTTCTCAACCTATCAAACATCATGACAATATAATTTCAAAAAAGTTTATTCAATTTTACATGTCTCGATACATTACAATTATAAATACAACAGATAGAAATTCAAAATACAAGGTATACACCTAAACTTAGAGTTTTTAATGAAAGACCGAATGTAATCTCTGTTGGTGATACTAATGCCGTCATTCTAGGATTGTTAAGGAATACATGTGTACATGAACATGGATGTGCCCCATTTGTCTTAAGCTCAAATAGTCCGCCTTTTTTGTGCGTGATTTTAAACGAGCTTTACAATGTATTTCCCGACTGGATTCTACCAGTCATATTGACAACACCTTGGGTCGAACCAGATGTACAAGTTCTACCTACCTAACTGGGACAACTCATACCTAGTTTTTGTGGAGTCCTGATGCACTCTCTACTAAACGCTTTTTATTTGTCGCGTCGATGTTTTTTAACCATAGAGTTGTCGGTCCTTTGTGAACTTATGCATGTTTTCTTCATACTTTTTTATCAATGGACGTTTGTTTCTTTAAATTTAAATGACACGTTCTTGTACGTACTGTTTGTTAGCCCATTGATCATGCAAAAGTTAAAGGGAGTGGATTAAAATCTCAAAACATTAGTTTTACTGATTTCTCTATATACTGTTTCCAACTCAGTGCATATAAAACAAAATCATTGAAAAAGAACAAAAATATGCAGTTTCTACCTGCCATTTTTCTATATGAAAAAGAGCTGGAAGATACCAAGGGATCATTCAAAATTCATAAATCGAGGACAAATGGATGACAACGTTCGTCTAAACTGTATTTAAGAAAGACTACCACCTTAATATTAAATGCGTTATAATTAAACTCGAATCAAGGAAATGTTTACTATTTCATCCCAGTCCCTTAGATAAAGGGGCTACTTTAGATAATGATTCTGTTGGTTTATGGACTCAAACACACTACAAAGTGAGACAGTTAGTTCTTAATAAAAATGTTATGTCACTTTCAAAAGATGTCGCAACATAACTAGGCTCTTAAGCGTATGATAAAACAACAAAACGATAAAAGATATAATAAGTTAAGACTGTGAAGTAAAAGAAAAATTTCGTATACGAAAGTTCAAAATCTTTCAGTAAAGTTTGCATAAATATGGAATTGAATTATGTTTGTGAGTAAATTCTAAACAAATCCTATTTATTGCAATGTCTGATTTGACTTAAGTGTCAATTTGAATTTTTCGTTTTCTCATTTGTGCTACATGTGGAGCAGGATATGCTTACCTCTTTGGAGTACCTGATATCACCCCCTCTTTTTTGATTGGTTCGTGTTGCTCAGTGTTTAATTTTCTATGTGTGTTTTTGTGACTTTTATTTGTCTAATCAGTGTTTAATTTTCTATGTGTGCTTTTGTTACTTTTATTTGGTTTTTTTTTCGCTTTTTTTTTTTTTTTGCCATGATGTGGTCGGTTTCTCTTCAACATGTAATTTTTTATTCTCCCCTTGGTAACTTCCCTCTATATATAATGATATTTTACTACAGAACACTCTAAGTATTAAAAATAAGATATACCGTATACGCAAGTTCCTCTTCGGTTATTTCCTCTTGGAGGGAAGAAAAATATATGTTGATAAATAATAGGCTTTCCCTGTATAAACAAAACGTTTTTTATTAAAACACTTCAGTTGTCAACAATGATAACAAGATCTTTATAAACTGGTTTCAGTGAAGAATAGTACCGCTGTTAACATCTTACAAAATTTTCATTTTAGTAGATTTTCTGAAAGCACATATATCGAATTAAAATTTAGGAAGGATATTGGAACTGCTATTGTATTGATGATGTTCTATAATTTGTTTTCTCAATGCTACAAATACTTAACTAATGATTTGATTAATGAGTGTAAGATGGTATGGTTTTACGATACAATGCAATGACTTTCGCACAAACAATCATATACCGAGTGGGTAGGAGTGCTGAACTAACAGCATAATAGATGCAATTTGTTCTTCATTTTGAGAAATCCAAAATTAGGAGTCTCCGAGATATCTTTAATTTGAGTTTGTAATCTTTCCCATGTGGCTATATATTTTTTACGTAAATGTGTAATTTGCACATTGAACATCTACGGAATGTCTTAAAGACTTTATGGAGGTATCATATCGATGAAATTGAGCACCGCACATGTTCCCGGATTATAATGATCCCGAAATACATTTGTACCCAAATAACCTTCATATTCTATAACAAAAATTGTGTACGGTTTCTTACTACAGAAATATGATTACACTTACAAGTCTTTAGTTTTCTTTGTTTTAAAATGTGTTCCGTTGTGTTTCTTTTCGGTTTTTGTCCTTGTGAGCATGGCTTTCATCGGTTAATAGTTTTAATAGTCCTATTGGCTTTTTAATATTTAGGTGTAAGCGTTCCTGATGAAGACAAATCCAGACACAAATGCTTCGAATGACAAATAAAATGAAGGGTACCTATCAAATATTTACTTGACATGTAATAAGCCACGCATTTCCAAAAAATATACTCAAATATCTCTTCGGAATCATCAGCCTCTCTTTTAAAAGATTTTTTTCTCATTTTATTTTCTTTCCTAATGGTGACCCAAATATGTATTTTAGAGACCTTCCCAACTGTTCATGGAGTTATCGATTTTGGTGCTATTGTTCCTCACATAATTTTAATATTATTAACCTCATATCCTGATACGCCACACCTCTCTGTTTAAGAATTGCATCTAGTACTCCTACATAACTTTTTCCTGGCCATGTTGTCATGGAACGGAATGTAGCATATTGTATTTCGCTGTAATGTAAAAAAAAAAAGTCATGTCAAAGACATTATTTGTTCGCCTACATATGTTAAGGTGGAGTTCCTGGTATAAAATAAAATGTTTTTTATTTTTTTATTATCACATGATTATATCAGAATAATTTGAAATTCTTTTTGAATAAATATTTATACATTTTAAGAAACTTATTACCTATAATTGTCCAACATAGCACTCAATCCAACACCTGTAAGTTTATAATGAGTAGTTTGTATATCATTACAAATAAAAAAAAAATGATGCATACATGTAAGTAAAGGCCCTCCTTCTTTAGCTCATCAGTCAAGACTCAGCTGCTCTCATGAACTATCATCGATAAGATTCTGTTTTGTTAATAAACTATATTTTTTCTACCCAAGGTATAGATGGTTGTAAAGAGATTCAGCACACCTTTCCAGAATTTTTGATTATCAATGTTTTTCCAACATGTAGTGGATTTGGTACTCAAATATATATATCGTTCAATATGCGAAATTCATTTCAGCTTAACGGCAACGGTAGCATTTTTATCAATAGTTATCAATAGTTGTTACTCCTTTATTATATGGTGCTCTTCAAATCAGCACAAATGGTTAGGCTCAGTCACTTGTTAATAGGAACTTGTCCAATATCACTTTATCTTTTATAGATTTTTTGTTTACACTTTATAATTGACCTACCCAATTTGAAGCGCATTAGTAATATTGACCCAGCATAAATCTACATACATTTCTGCCACATCGAAGTCACGAAGAGAGATTAAGGTGTCATCCATGCCCTAATAAGAGCCATAAAATATTTCTACCACCTAAAACCATATTTCCATATACATGTACCATCTATAAAATATCTCAAACTATTCATGATAGGATAATACGACCAAAAAAACAAAAAAGACAATAATTCATTTCTATTATAGAATGGTTAGGTTTTAACACAGTTAGTAAACAAAAAAATCAAAACACTACAAAGTACAGTTATCCCACATGGAGAAAATTGGAAGATCGAAGATGTTCGTGTAAACAGAACAAACAAACACACAAAATATCCACATTCGATTAATAACATTGTAATGCGTCTTCGGTGAATGCTTCATCAGATAGGGAAACAATTTAACACAACATAGATATCTGGTAAATTTGGAAGTAAGTTTGTAAATGGCTGGACTTATCTAATGGTCTTAAACATACCTGCAAGGGTCCTTACAGCTGCAGTTCTCCGTACCCTTTTCAGCATGCGCCATACACTGTAGCTCTTTAAATATATAAAATTGTTTACACTCTCATGTACATTTGTATGATTTTGAGACGTCAATCTATAGACTGCCAATTTTTAACTGAACAGTTGTTAACTATGAGACAACATATATTTGTATGCTACTGTATATCATTAATTGATATCAGCTCCTTAACAGAACAGGCATTGCTATCTGTCATAAAATGTTTTGGAAAAACAAACAAATCCTCATAAAAAGAGGAGAATATATCAAGATCAAAGACGAAAATACAAAAAACACAATGACATCGCTGCGAAAACAAACCTTAGGACAAAATGAAACAGACAAAACATACGAGAAAACATATGTTCTATGAAAGGGTGAAATCATAAAAGATATAAGGCTTACAATTTAGTATTCGCGATGCAAAACTCAGCATAAATGATCGAATCAAAACAATTGTAGGGCAGTTAAAAAGCATTCATAACCAAATATTCCATACAATTTTGCTAGATCGGGCTAAGCAAATCTTTGCCTAGAGGTATGCAAACCTTTTTTATCGATATTATACAATAATCATAAACGACGAACTCGCAGGAAATGATTGTATCACTTATAATTCACGACAGCACATCAGTGCTGACTACTGAGTCGGTGATTCCCTCAGAGGCCAAAACGTCCACCAGCATCTACCAAGGGGGTGTAAAAACTCACCTCAGATATCACGCGCTTGATTAAGTACGCCCGACGTACGTGTCGTTTACACAAGATTATTCAGTGGCGAAATATGGTTAGTTTTACTCAATTTGGCCACATCGTGGTATGTGTACTTTTTTCAATTGGTATTTGTTTAAGTGAGATTTTATTTTATATCGGTAAATCGTAGTCCGTTTTGATTAAAATGTGTTGTTTGGGCGTAACAAAGATGTGCAAAGTTTCCAATGCAGATAATCACATTTTTACACAAAAATAGTATGGATAATGAAATGCAGTTTGTCGATTGGGTAATATTTAAGGACCATTTCTAAGAGGAACATGTAACCTTCAATTATCCCAATGTCCCAATACCCATTTTTGATAAGGTAACACAATTCAGTAATTACAAAAATTATCTCATAAATTCCTTGGACATAACAATTACACATATTACCAAATGGCTACACGGGTACGATATTAACAAATAGCCATGTACAAAAAATATCTACTAGTTGTTAAGTGAAGTAATGATATGTATATATTGAAGGATTGTAGAAATCTGCTGCTAACCTCTAAAGATTAACTATTGGACAATTTCGCACTTAAGTATTTACAAGATAACATATTTATTACATACCTATACTTCAGAGTGTGAACCGAGACTAAACCCTACGCTCCTTATCTTATTCGAAAATCAATCAGAACTGGCACTATTCCCCTAGTAAAAAGTAAAATAACAAAAATACCGAACTCCAAGGAAAATTCAAAACAGAAAGTCCCTTATCAAATGGCAAAGTCAAAAGCTCAAACGCATCAAACGAATGGAAAACAACTAATATATTCCTGACCTGATACAGGAATTTCCTTACGTAGTAAATTGTGGATTAAACCTGGTTTTATAGCTAGCTAAACGTCTCACTTGTATGAGAGTCGCATATAATTCCATTATATTGACAACGATGTGTGAGCAAAACAAACAGACATAGGTAAAAATGTCAAAAATTGGGGTGCAGCAGTCAACATTGTTATAATCTAAATCATAAGTGAGAAACTTCCGATAATATCGATACATTCGTTATGTCTTATAATGTTGACATTGTCAACAATTGCTCATGACGTATAGGCAAAACCACTTATTAATCACTGGATCTGGCTATAAAACTTAAAATTTAAAAAAATGAATGCATTTTGCGGTGAGAAAATAAAGGGATACTAACACTAAATGGTTTTCATTAAGATGTATTCGAACATGACTGTAGAAAGATATTGTTAAGTTGTTAATAAAATTCATGAAGGAATATGCCTCTGACTTTTGTTGCTCATTTGTGATTAAATAATTTTGAAGTTTTGCACTTGATTATTGAAAAGATCAAAATTCTACAAATGTTTTCATTCCTAAATTGCATAGAGCTATAAGATAACAACGCCTAACCACCGTCTATGCAAAATGAGATCGAAATATCCCTGAAACCTACAGCCTAACATGCATTCTCCTATAACTAACTTTTTCTCATATTGATAATTTACTGGTTTAATGTTGTTACATTGTAGCTATCACGAGTATTGCTGCCAAGGTCTTATGAGTTACAAACAAATACTTATACCCAACTTACCGTGACTACTGGACTAATGCACAAGAGGTGTTTTACATGCAACAACAATGTTTAAAGGGATAAATCAAGTTATATTAAACACATGTATAAAATATACCTTCGATTTCATCGCAAATCCAGAGTCCTAGATTAACATTTGACATGGTAGGCGAACAATTACAATTCTTTTCCACAATATTTTCTATACATAGTTCAAAGCAGGTCTACAAACAATTCATAATATGAACATCTAAACATTTGGCTACAGTTAATTATAATAGAAGATTTATATGTCTGCCATATGATGACTAGACATCTTAGCATATATATAGCCTAGACTATTTTAATAAATTGTGATTGCGATACATCAAATCAAATGGGAATATGTTACGGGATTGGAGATTTTTATTGACATCATAAAAATATGTCTCTAACAATGTGTGTCTGACACTGTGTAAAAATCCATCATTGTTTGTATTGTTGAATCCTAACAAAAACTTTGGAAGAACTTAAGTGCAATAGGAGCAAAAGTACTTCCTGCACGAACAGTATTATGCGCTGTGGCAATTGAAACGTTGATACGTCGTATTCTTGAACTATAATCTAAACATAATAACTCCATTGTCCGTAAGATGTAAGATTTCCTACAACCATAGATTGTATATAGGTATATATTTTATCATTTTGTAAATAAATGTAACAATAAAGAGATGTGGTATGATAGCCAATGAGTCAGCCATCCACTAGAGTAAATATTGACGTGGACGTAAGCAATTTTGTATGTCAATACTAAATGTAATGTGTATATAATGTTCTGTCTCGTGTGTGTGTGTGTTTTGTATTTGGTGTTTAGCCATGAACGAGGAAAGACAAACGGGAATTCATCCCTGACAGACGTAAACAATATTATGTGTGACAAAGATTGTTTGTAAACTTTAACTGTTTCATGATGACGTCTATACAAAATAATAAATAAGTGAAAGAATTTACTTGAAAACCCAAACATACTCAAACAAAATTTAAGGTGAAATACTGATCAATCATAACTTTGTTTCCTGCTTTTTTGAATTTAAACTGAAGACAACAAACTGAATCCTTGTTCATTCTACTGGATACCAAAATTGCGCAAGTGTCTTGATAGACAACGTAATAATTCTTGGTTGTCTAAATGCTCCACGAAACCTCGTTTTAAAAGTCACGTATAATGCTTAATGTTGAATAAATTGTTCCCTTACATTATTTGTACCAGGTCAAATAATTTTAGATGAGTCTTAAATGACTTTTCGTGCAAACTTAAAGTATTTGTCATTCATTCCTATCAATAGATAGGAAACAATAATAATAATACGCATAATAACAAACATTTCTGGATTTCGTCTTGTATTTCTTTTAATTCAGTGACAACTTACATTTCAACTTCATTCGAACTTTTCAAGATTAATTCCGTCGTGTACATTGCAGATTAACTGTCATATTTGCCACCGAACATATAACAAAAACAGTCAATGAAATAGATTAGGTTACGCATTTCTTTTGAATATGAACCGCGCCTAATATTTAACAGGAGTATTATTTTGATTTTATCCATACCACTATAGTCTATCTCTTAGTAGTGTACAAACATTATGACATTAAGATAAGACCGTCTTTTCGACAATTTCAGTTTTAATGAACTATTTGTTTTAAACACAGTATGATTGTAGAAACCAGCAAGTTATGCTTGAGTGTATTAACAATAATATTGTATCATGTACACCAAGGTATTTGTTTTTCTAATTTTCACTATTCAATCATGTGATGTTACAAGTTCGTTACCTCTTCGGAAGCTTACAACAAGTGTTGTTTCAATTTCTACAGAATTATATATAATTATATTATGCTATTGGCACAAAGTACTAGTAGATCAAAATTTATCGAGTTACTCAATTGCGTCTCTATTATCATTTAGGTTTTCAAATTGGTCTTTTTTCCAGTAAATTATATGTATCGCATTGTATTTTATTTCAATGTACGAATACCCTCTCTTGTTTTAGGACCATTTGATGTTCTGTCCATACACATTCAAATACTATCCATTAACTGAGTCCGTAGATTTTTTACAGAGGGATTCCGAATAATGTTGATTTGTACTGTGTTTCTAGTGGCTATTTCCATTTATTTACTAGAACCGGAGAGACAATACCATTCTGTCATCTACTCGAAAGTTTCTTACAAGCTGATCAAACGTTGTTACGTATGACTTTTTTTTTTTATTTCCTTTTGGCGTCTTTTAAAGCTGAAACGCATGCCACTTCGACACTATCACCAAAAGGGCATATATTCTTCTCAAAAATAAAATGATGTAAACTCAATTTTAGTCAATTGCGAATCAACTAGCAAGTTATTTTTTGACAATTGAAAAAGAATCTTACCTGGATGTTTGTATATTGGCCACTGTCATCACATAAATCTTTACTACCAAACACCTCCTTTTTCCTCTCTATTCTTTTCTGTTTTACAAAGAAATTAATCTGAATTATGAGTGGCTTCTTAGTACCAACGTGAGCAAATAAAAAAAAAAAAACATAATTTCATTAAAGATGAGTAAAGTATTTTTACCTTGCACTCTGAATGAAACCTTTTCATGTGGTATGATTGCAAATTGGAGACATATTCACCAAAGACGTGAAAAACTACTACAGTTCACTACAATGTTCAGTCTATTGCAGTCATATCGGATCATACATTTAGAATTTCTAATTGGAGGGTTTCACTAAAATATTTTATTCACAGAAATAATAGGGCTCATTGTTTAGTACGGATGAACAGATTGTGTTAAAATTATTCATACTATAGCTAGAGACTCTTTGAAACGTCGTTTTAAACCCCAATTTTTTAGGACTACTTTGAAAACCCTTATGTTTTGGATCCGGTAAACGTTACTATTGTGAATACGTTGTTTATGGAAAAAAGCATTCATTTATATTCATTTATATTATAATCAAAAAGAAGATTGGGAAATTATTTAAACCATTATTCATTTGACTCTGGGATGAAGACAAAAAGCGTTCAATGGTCAGATATGTGATTCGTACAATATCAGTCCTTAGAGTATAACATATCTACTGGATGGTGCAAGTTGAAAAGTATTCGAGATTAAAGATATTGTGGTATTACCCTAAGTATATAAGGTCAGCAATTAAAAATTCACTGTTTCAACAACCATGAGATCTCCATCGATAATATTGAGTTTTAAACATCAGTCCTGATGTTCTCATGGTATTTTATATGGAAATCTTATGGTGTTTTGATTTGAAAACTAACTTCACATTAAAATAAAGATATGTGGTATGATTGTCAATAGGACAACTATCAACCAGAGTTCAAATGACGTGCATAGAAACAATTATAGGTCATTGTACGGCCAAAATTCAGGATCAAATGCACAAGAACATCATAATGTTAATCATTCAAAAAGAGAACAAAGACATGAGACCATTCTAAGAAAACCAATAACCGAAAACAATCATGGATGACAGCAACAAACAACAACGACCGGACTAAAAGCTCCTGGCTTGGAACAGAAAAATAAAAATGAAAAGGGTTAAACTTGTATTAAAAAGCTTAATCCTTCCTAATACGCGACCGTGGTGTAACAACATTGGAACAAACATTCAACTGTAAAAAACTTTGAAAAACGCTTGACTCCTACGATTGGTATGAAACAAAAAAAAAAGAAATAAGCACATTTATAATAAACACAAAGTACCGTTCTAAGAAAACTCGCAGTAACTGAAAGCATGATCAAAGCAAAATTTCAACAAATAAACTAATATAGATAAGAAGATGTGGTATGAGTGCCCACGAGACAACTCACCATTCAAATCACAATGAAAACCTTATTTGTCACAACGAAATATCAATCAGTACACCTCTAACGGACAGAAGACATGGTCATACTGGGTTTTTTAAAACACAATATCTTAAATTATCGTAGTTAAATTACTTAACATGTGTAGATTAATATTCACAACTTACATATTCAAATTAAAACAATTTCCTCGCTGACTTTCAGATTTTTCGGCTGGAATTGTTTTCACTTTCTGATTATACATATTAAGCTATTAACAACATACCTGAAACAATGATATATCTGTTTTAAAGCCAGGTGATACTGCAAAACCATTGCTCTGCAAATATGGTTTATATCCATTTTCATGTATTGAAAGAACAATGCCTGGATCATCGGCAACGTATGGTATGTAATCACTTTGATTCACGTTCAGAAATAGCTGAAATGCTGTGTTGAATGTCATTAATTGAGCAAATTATAAAACCTAAAAAGTTTAATCTGAACCAAAACATTCAATGGTATGCATGAAACTTTTTTATGGCAATTTCACTTTAATCATAAGGTTATCAAATCCATTTAAAACGCATTTGAACAAAACCAAAGGTGCGAGTTGATATCTATTAAAACGGCATACGCATCGAATCACGTATTATTATTTTTAGTGAGGAATTAGCTCTTTTTGGAACTTATTTGTGACTTTTATTGACTTATTGAGGATGATGATCACGCTCGGATCCTGGTTTAAATCAAACAGATACCTCTTCATTTCATTTGAATGAACCTGTGTTGTTGGATTATGGTCCAGGTGGTGTTTAAATCTTATCTCCGTTGATTTATTTGACAGTTGGATTGCAAATTCGTGAATTTTCCCCCCTAACAGTTAAATGCAAATTTGTATTTGCTGAAATGGAATATTAATAAAGAGACAAGATATAATAAACAACGAGACGACTATCCATCATAGGTAGTTCAATACTTACCAAATAAAGGTCCAACGTGCTTGGTAACTAATGGTTGTCTCGGAAACCTATAACATTGTCCATAATAAGGATCATAGAATGGTACAAAGAAACTGAAATTAAAATATCGATACATATGGTTCACTCTTTACCGATATGTCATAAAAAGTGAGAAAAAACATGCTTAATGTTTCAATTATTTTTGGGGAAAATTTAAATACATTAACATGATTTAACAATTACAATGTAATCTACATCTAACTTTCATTCAAAGCACACAATAATAGAAATTCTCATGAATTACACATAGATTAGACCATAAATCTTAAGGTAGCAGGTGTATAATACTTCGATAGGGATTTTTCTGCCAAGTTTTATACTAACAATATATGATAGAGGGAATCCGGTGATGCATCTGCTTTTTTGTGC